GTTACTAGGTTTCTGTCACTTTCTGGATCTGTTGTCTGCCTGATTGGCTTGTGGTTATCCATAGCCAAAATTTTTCTCAAATCATTGCAAATACCTACCTTCTTTGTTTTAAGGAACAAAGAATGCTGAGATATTTCTTTCATTATTTTTATTTTTCTTCAAGACCTAAATGATGTTTTTTTCTGTATGTGCCATAACATGGACATGCATTCAGACATTTTGTAGGACAACTGGAAGCATTTATTATGCTTTGTGACACAAATATCCTTGTTCTGCAGATTCTTTCTCTGCTATATTACTACTTAAAAATCTGTTTCACAAACAACTGATAAAGTAAGAAAGCAAACAGGCACACACACACACACACACACACACACACACACACACACTGATGTTTTACATCAAAGATGCTATAGTTTGCCAGCAAATGGTTTCAAGTGAAAAAACAAAAAGAAAATTCAAGATTGAGGGTAAGTCAAAACAGAAATCCCTTGCATCTCCATAGACATGCTGGAGGTTTCTGCCTGCTATCCCTCATGTAGAATTGTCAGCCTCAAATCATTCAGCATCTAAAACTAAAATTTTAAAATGTCTCACAAAACGTTAAATGTATTTGGACCGTTCACCCATCCTGAATGTGAAAAGAGATAGACACTAGTCAAATCTCAGTTCTTCATAGGAAAAACGTGAGCTCTATTTGTTCCTTCTAATGACCAGAGCTCCTACTGTGCAAAAGGGCAATACAAGAATACTAATGTACAAATGAATAACATATTTTAGCACCCAGAAGCACCCACTATTCATGCTTCCATTTACATAACATCAGAAGGAATAAAAAACATGGAGCACTAAGGGATTCTCAGAAAATTTTCACACATTTTTAGAAAAATATTAGCAAACTAAAAAACCTAATATACTTCTTCTCCTTTTCAAGTTCCTTTCTTTTTTCTTCTGTTCTCTTTATCTCTCTGTCTCTGTGTGTATCTCTCTGTATCTATGTCTCTGTGTTCATCTCTTTGCCTCTCTGTCTCTGTGTGTATCTCTGTCTCTCTGTGTGTATCTCTCTTTCTCTCTTTCTCTCTCTCTCTCTCACACACACACAAAAACCACACACAATCTCATTTACAAATAAATCCTATAAGCTATATAAACTAGGATGCCAAAGAATGTGAATCTCACCTTTGAAGTTAAAATATTTAAAAGGTACAAGGCATCACTAATTCTACAAAAGCCTTCTGCAAACAGTAAAGATACCTTCCACTTTATCTCCTCACATTTGTATACAAAACCTTAAAATTGCTGTGGCTGACATCCCAAGCAACAGCAGAAGACAGGAAAATATTCATTTCTGGTCCTATGGGAGGCTATCTCTGCAGTACAAGAAATTCCAATTTTCTAGACCAGTGCTTCACTTCCTTTACCTAACCCCACCTAACCACATTCAAACCCATGTTCCCAGGTTCTTATACCTGACACCATTTAAAGGTAACTAGGTTTGCAGATTATAAAAAGAAAAGTCACCCTCAAGGATAAGGGTAATTAATGGTAGAGTACTTAACTAGCATGCACACAGCTCTTGGTTTGAGTCACACCACCTAAATAAAAGCCACCTTTATTCAATTCAGCACCAAGCCTAAATAGCTCAGCAGCAAATTTACATAAAAATGATATCAGGGTTGCCTTGGAAGGAGAAATACTAAGTAGCATACAAAGGAACAGGTGATTAATGCTATCTTTGTGTTGTCTCCTTAGCAGTTGAATCCTTTGAATGATCTTGGCTCCCCAGCTAGACTGTGAACACTCTGAAAGCAGGAGTTTCCTTCCTCTTACATGTATTTGGAACCTCCAAGCTATCTGCTACATAGCTGGGGACATTGAACATTATAAAAGAACTTAGTAATTTGATTTAATCCAGTGGTGATCTATTTCAAAGTGAAGTGGAGTTGGAAGCAGCAAGGGGCAAGCACAGTGGCTCTGAGTCTTACTTGTCTAATTGCTATTTCAAATAAGCCTTATCGCTGTTCAAATAATAAGGAGTGTGTGTCATGAAAGGTAACACAACAGAAGAATCTAATGGCTCCAATCTGAAGAGAAAAAATGTCACACATCATATGCTTAGGAAAGGGACACCATTCAGAATTAAAACTGTGTTGTCTTTTTCTTTTAAGCTCTGATGTCAAAGATCAAGTGTTTTATCTTTGTGTCACTAAAAGACAGCAGATGCAATATTTAACACATTCTATACATGTAATAAATGCTAGTGGGCTGAGTTAAATGACAAATAGAAATAGTTTCATGAAGTAATATAAAGGATAATTTTTAATGTCATAACATGACTTAAGAGAAATTTCCATAGAATCATCTACTTACTACATCATAGCATGTATCATTCTGTACTATAATTGCTCCATAAGTGAATGGTTTCTTGGATGGATAAGTTAATTAATGGGAAAATTATAAAGGCAAGAAATACATCAGAGCATTATTATTCTAGGAATTACACGGCACAAAAGAGTAACATTTAGCATCCCGTAATGAAAGCTACCTGTTTACATGTCAACTTCTTTAGACTGTGCATTCATTGTATCTTTTATTGTTTTTTATTTTTATTTGTCTCTGGAGCTACAGAACATAGAGAAGTACCTTATAAGAAACACACACTCAACAAATGTCAGTTGAAAAAAGTTCAGGGGCATCTAGTATGAAAGAAAAAGAGAAGTACTTGTTTCCCTATTCGGAATTTCATGATGAATACAGGCTAAATATCTTGGTGGATGCTTGACTGTGAACTCTCCAGGACTAAGTACTGGTAATATACATATAACCTCAGCCTAACCCTACACACCAGACCAGTGCACTTTTGTCAGACAAAGAGGGTATCTGGCTTTGAAAGTCAGGGAAAGCATCAGAACGAAGATTAGCTTTCTGAAAGTCTTTGTTTCATCCTGCCTTTAGAAAAAACTCAGAAAAGACACCAAGATATTAGGTGAACCAAGAAGCCATAGTTACTATCTCCTGTTTCTCCCGCATATTCAATAGTTAGCACAGTTCTCTTTTCTCAGGAACTTGAATTGATTGTAAAATGATCATTAAATCTTTATGATTCAATTCTTTCGTCCACCTCCCAAAACAATAACAAACCAGCAACCAAATACACAACGTTAGCATTTTTCAACTTCATTGTTCAAGGATTACTATAAGGCAATAGTCTGGTTATAGCACTGTGTAGCTATTATCTACATAGAACCAGCCTAAATTCCTCTTTGGTCATAGAAACTGGACAGACATTCTCAAGTTAAGCCAATGGTGAGTCTCCAATTTTCAATTAAAACATAATTCTACCTTTTTAGGGTCAGTTATAAATCATACACACTCTTTACAATTCATAATGCTTTATTTTTCCTTAGAAACGTTCCATAATAGATTTACCCATTGTTTTAGATGAGGAAACAAAGGACCCAAAGGGGTTCCATAGTAAAAGTTGACTTCTGAATTCAAAACCACAATGTATTTGATTCCACTGCAAACCCTTACCTCTCCATCTCCATTGCTGAACTATTAGAGGTCCACAGTATCTCTCCAAGTAGTTTATGAGACCATAGCAGCAATAAGGGTCATTAATACTTAGAACTGAATTTACCTGACACAACACTAGAATTTCAATAAGTTTTTGTTTATAGAGTTATGTGCTCAAAATGCTGGTGCTTTTGCTGAGTTGCTCAGTAAAAATACTTCTTTTTCCGTGCTTTTAATTCTAATAGGAATTATTTCCCAGGAACTAGGAGACACAATTAAACAACAACGTACATGGTCCTAAGCACCCTTTGCCCTACAAAACTGATACAAACAATATGAGCTCATTTTATGTTCCCGTGATTGCCTAGCTATATCAATCTGAATCATTTCTAAAGGCAGGAAGTACTACTCAAACACTTAAGAAGTACAGAGCAAGATGATCTTCTCCTCCCTTTCTGTATGATCTGCTCTCTGGGTCAGAGCAAGTTCCTCAGCATCTCTAAACCTTTGTTTCATCTTTCACCAAAGGGAATTCTATCAAGGTATCTGACTGTCGGTTTCTAATGAGATGATGCCTACACAAGTACCCTGGAAAGCTGCTGAAGTCCACTTGAAATCTACAGAATAGCTTTCATAGTGACTAGGAAGACAGCATGTCTCCCAGTATATCAAATTTCCAACCAAAGAGGGACTTAAGCATTTCATAGAAATTGAAACCAACTTAAGGACTTGTTTATAGTCTTTTGTGTAGCCCCCTCTTCTCCCCAATCTCACCACCATCACCGGCATATCAATTCTCACAAATCATTTCAATAGGCAACAATCATTTGGCCATATTGTGTTTGTTAAAAAAAAATCTCCAGGAAAACACCCAAACTGAAGGGAAACAGTTAATTCAAATACATGGCTACTTCATGCAATATTCATGTTAGTGACAGTTTCAACCTCCTCAACTTTCAAACATTACCAGAATAGCTAAGAACCAGCAATGTGACTTTTAAAACTGTATTGCTTGTATCCTATTGACCATAGTCTCAGCAAGAGAGATGGAAGAGAACAAAAAAGCCAAGTGTGGAGTGCCTTTAGGATTCTGAACCACAGAAGGAAAATGAAATTGAAACATTAGAGGGATTCACTCATTTTCAATACTGCTTGGCAACCCTAAGCTGCTTTAGTCTCCAAGCAGGTAGCACTGGCTTTTGAGCATGTGTATCTGCAACAGGTGAAGCAATCTTTTACTATGTTGGGACATTATGAAGGCACGTCAAGGCTCAGATCACTTGAGTTCAGACTCCCCAACACCACCCCTTACACAAAAGCTCTCGATGTTGAATCACTGTTTGTCCCAAAAAGCACTATTAGCAAATGCCTAGTGTTAAAAAGGACTTAGACAAGGGATGTGCCTCCACAATGGCCCGTGATATAGCAAGCAGCTCTAGAAGGAGATCTGGGAAGACTTCACAGAACCACTTAGCTGCACTCACCTCAGGCAGGGGCACACCATTGATGATCAGGTCTGGCTGTTGTGGGCCCTGGCTGTTGAAGGAGTGGTGGTAGATGTGGTTGGCAGTAGTGTTGCGTGTATTCTGGTTCTCCACATTCAGGAAAGTGCTCTCAGAGCGACGGCAGCCCAGGGGCAGTGTCTGCTGGTGGTAGTCGAAATAGTTGAGGGACGAAGTAAGGGAGGAGCAACTGACAACATTCATCTTGTCTGTCTCCTCCACCTCCCGAGGTACAAGGCGGATGTCATTCTTACTAATTTTTTTCTTCTTACTTGATTTCTTTTGATGCCCATAGGAGTACTCAGCGATTCTATGTGACAGAAAAGGCAGCACGAATAGATAACACCTTCCCAGACCATGTACTGATGAATAAACATTAAGCACCCCAGAGGGTTGCACCCCATCTCTGCTCCAGCTCCTTATTCTGGTGCATTACATCATCGTGTTTCTCCCTGTGCTTTTTGCATGCGAAAACAAGCTGAGGGCCATGAAGTTTTCATATTAAATACATTAACCTCCCACTTCCCACCAACCCTTCCCAAGGAAAATTTCATATTTCAATTTGAAATTTTTCATTGTGAGTGGCCAGTAAGCAGGGGTGAGTGTGGGGAAAGTTGAGCCTATGGGGCTGATGCTTCCCTGGAACCTAAAGGAAGTACTGGGTTAGGTAAAAAGTAAGTGCCAATTTTACAGAAAAGGAAATGGAGGGAAATAAGAAAAGCCCTTGCCAATGCCTCCAGGAATTTGCAATGTGGCAAACACCATGGATCCGCTTCCTCTGTGATTAAACTGAGCCCTTTTAGACTAAGAGGTTCAGACCCTGTCCTCCAACAGTACCTAACTTTGCTTATCCACACCCTCCTCCTCCCTACCCTAGCCCAGCTCCCTTCTACTTTCCACCCTTCCCCCTCCTCTCCTAGAGAAATCTGATAGCCAAACCCATTTGAATGAGGGGAAATGCCTTTTTACCTCTTTCCCCTTAGGCTCACTTTCTCCTCTGCCTTTTTGTCTTGCTCCTCGCTAATGGGAGAAACCGAGATGCAATGCAGACACTTGCTGTTTTGTCCTTTTATAAAACAGCCGAGGAGACAAGTGATGGTTAAACAATTACTGCAAAGGAATTTAAAGGTTAGTGCATTCAGCATCCTTCTCCATTCAGGTGTACCTACAAGCAGCTGTGCTGCAACTGGAACATAAAAAGCTCAATTTAATTAACACTGACACAAACCCAGGAATGTGCACCAAAGACACCAAGCATTAAGAGACTTGTCAAAAGAAATACATTAAAATGTAGTCAGATTTTCAATGCCATGTATTACTTTGCACATGATTTCAGCTTATTGTTTGAGAATTCAATCACTGAGTAATAATCAGCAAAACAATAAGGTTAATAAATAATACAGGTTGGACTTTGCAAGTGAAAGAGTGTGTCTGTATTCTCTCACTTGACAAAGCTAATTGTCAGAATACAATTCAGGCAGCAACTGCAGGTCATCTCACTAGTCTCATAAATGAATGCATTTCAGGAAGAGGTCCTGCAGAAGCAAAGAACTAGAAGACCCTGCCTAATCACATAGAAAGATGGGCTTCTCCTGAACTTTAGGATTCTAAGAAGTCTGAACAGATGTGGAGTTTGCATATCTACCCATATATACCAAGGCAAACTATTGCTCTGTCACCAGGATCTACCCAGAGATAAGCAATTTATTTCACCTCACCCTTTTACTCTCTGCCCAGTCTGCCTTGAAATGATGGCAAACTGATGATACAGAGGCCGAGGGACAGATAAAAATCCCCCAAACTTCAGGACTAGGGTTACATTTCTTTTCTAATCTGTTTACTGAATCAATGGGAAGTTCTAATCATTTTGTTTACCCATGATGGGTAACTTTGGCAATACCCCATCCAATTATTCAGCAGAGGCATTCAATGCATGACCCATTCTGTATTGACCAATTATTTAATTAAACTGTACTTCATTAATCGCAAGCCATCACAGGGAAGAGTGCTTTACAAAATACACATTTGGGTGAAGTTGGAGAGCACTGAGATTTGCAGTTTTTTTCTCAATTCAAATGCTCTTCCTTGTTTAATGATCTCTCTGGCAAGCTCTCAGAAAGAGTTCTTACTTCTAGTCATATATCACCAAGAAGTGGCAAAGCCTTCAATATCTGTATTTCAAGCTGATTTCTTTTTCATCACGGGAAGGGTCTTATGCATTTACTTTATGCTGAGAAAATGGCTTAAAAAGAGTCCCCTCTGTCATTATCTCCATATAAATAAAAATTTTATTGAGCCTGCATTTTTCTCCTATAAAAATCGCCACTGGCTGTCACAGGTTTCAAAGGTAAGAGCAATATTAATTTCCATTTCTCCCATCTGAAGTGACTTGGTACTGGAGGAAAGAAAAGTCATGGCCATTTCACTAGTAACAGGATTAAAGCATTTATGAGGCATTGCAGCTGCTCTTTTATGGCACCTGATTGATATTCATGTGTGGTTAGCATTTGTCTACTAACTTGTGTAATGCAGAGAATAGTAAAAGGGAAACAATAATTGCATTGCTGTTACATATTCAGGGAGCTCTGATTCACAGAAGTGTGTATTTCAGATGGTGTCAGATACAAATCGGACCTACAGGAACATATTTTGACTGATTAACATGCAAGCACAGATGGTACAAGATACAGTGGATGTGGAGGTGTGTTGAAAGTACACACAAGCACACATACACCTTGGCTGGAAATAGCAGCATCATTCATTTTCAGCAAAGTAAAAGAATAAATAAAAATAACTTTTTTCAACTGTTTCGATGAGACACTGCTGGAAAAAAAATATGTTCATTATCCTAAGTAGGATTCTAGAAATTCTTAGACTTATTTCTTCTATCAAATTGCAAGGAAGTCTTCAGCAAGAACCTCTAATGTGTTAATCAAGACTTTAAAAATGCTACATTACATGCCATTCAAGTTTCTACTTCTCTTCTATTTCCTCTCCTCCTGTTTCCCCACCCCCCACACACATCCTACACACACTTCAGAGAAACTGTAACACAATAGTCCATAGTGACATCCACTGGTAGGGACCAGATCTTAATGCCACAGCACAGTTTCACATTAAAGGAAAGCATAGCCAACTCCAGAAGATTGCTATTTTTACTGAAACATCTGGATGCAATGTCTTGTTTCTCACTGGGATGTTTGGTCTTCATACACTAACCAAGCAGATATTTGAAAACATACAGATGCCTGACAGAATTTTACTTTGTATAGCCATATGTCTGAGGACTACATACAAAACAAGCTAAGAATATATTCAAAACCACTAATGACCTGCTTCCCCCGAACACACTGCTTTCTCTCTTCCTCCTCCTCTCTGTTTCCCATCATAAACTCTCACTCAGATCTCTCTCTGGACTGTAACTCTACATAGGACAAGACAGCTGCCAGTACACCATCTCCTCTCAGCTCTTGTCTGCAAAACACTGTGCTCCAGGAAATCAAGCCCTCCAACCATGATCCCATAGAACTTTTGCTACAAATATGAAAATCTGTCTCTCTTGAGCTCTCCCTCCCTCTCTCCCTCCCTCCCATCTCACTCCTTGATTCTCCCTCCCTCCCCCTCATTTTTTTCTACCTTAACTTCATTGGAGACAGCTGTGCAAATTTTAAAATGATAATTGCTTTTCTGCTCATCATCATTATGTGACAAAATCCATTCAAACAGTAAATGATTATCTTCCAGCAAATTGTCAGATCAAAAGAATTGATCAACTTGGACTGTCACAAACTTCTCACCCCCCACAAAGAAGCATTGTGGGTATGCTGCATGCATTTAAATAGGAAACAAAAGCACTGGGGTTTTTACACAGACACAAATACATACATCTTACTCATTCAAAACACAGAAGAAAAGAAAGAAAACTTGGCTCTACCTGCAATTGTAGGTCCGGATCTCTTTGTTGTCACGCTTGCACTTGATTGCCACGAAGATCATAGTGACAAAGAGAATGCCAGCAATGGAGCCCAGAGCAATAATGAAAATCAGAGATAAGTTCACAGAGCCCATTGACTCTTGGGCATCAAGAGCTGGGGATAAGTAGATTAGGATAAGGGCAGACGCAGAAAGAGACGTCTTGCCATGGTCATGGGCCACCACTATAAGCTCATAGGAAGCCTTGGAATTCTCATTAAAGGTGCGAGTGGTTCTGACTTCTCCATTGACCTGGTCTATTTCGAAGAAACCTCGGTCACCTTCTGTCATGTCATAGGTGACTCGGCCATTTTCTCCCTCATCATAATCGTCTGCCTTAACTATAGTCACCAAATAGCCTATGCCGGCATTTCGAGGAATGTAGACCTCAGCAGAGCCATTGATCAGAGGTGGGGCGGTGATGACCGGGGTATTGTCATTGACATCTAGGATAATGACCCTCACTGTGGCATTGCTTTGGAGTGAGGGCAAGCCGCCATCCTTGGCCAGGACCTTGAATTCAAATGCCTTGGTCTGCTCATGGTTAAAGGATCGTAGCGCATAGATGTCACCAGAGTTGGGATTGATAGAGACATAGGTGAAGACTGGCATGTCTCGCACCTGTGATGGCACAATTTGGTAGGAGACGCTGCCATTGAGACCCATGTCAGGGTCGCGGGCAGACACAGAGAGCAGATAGGCACCAGGAGTGTTGTTCTCCTGTACAATGACTTGATAGTAAGGCTTGGAGAAGTGTGGGTGGTTGTCATTCTCGTCTGTGATACGCACAGTGAAAGACTTGGCACTTTGCAGCATAGGCACACCACTGTCTCGAGCCTGAATAGTAAGATTATACTGGTCATGCTGCTCTCGATCCAGCCGCCCATCAACAAGAATAGTGGAGAAGCTCTCGTACTCCTGCAGCCGAAAGGGGACATTGCCCAGCAAGCGGCACTGCACACGTCCATTGAGACCCGAGTCGCGATCAGACACCCGAACCAGGGCAATAACGTAGCCCGGGGGGGCGCTCTCGCTCACCTCGACAAGCTCGCTATTGACCGACAGTAGGTTGATAATTGGGGGGTTGTCATTAGTGTCTAGCACGCTGACAGTGACTTTGCAGTGTGCAGGGATAGAGTTGGGCCCCAGGTCTTTGGCTTGCACATCCAGTTCGTACACGTGGCCCTCTTCAAAGTCTAGCTCCCCGGTGACAGTGACCAGGCCGCTGTGTGGGTCAATTTGGAAGAGTTCACGCGTGCGGTCATTGACATAACCATAGAAAGAGTAAACCACTTGGCCGTTGGTGCCCTCATCTGGATCGCTGGCATTGAGGCGGATGACGGGTGTATTGGGAGGTGAGTTTTCAGGCACGCTCACTGAGTAAGTGGACTCGCCAAACACCGGGTTGTTGTCATTCGAGTCGGTCACCTTGATGCTGAGGCCAACTGTGCCCATGTGTGGTGGGTCGCCTCCGTCGAGCGCTGTAATGCGAAAGCTGTAATGTGACTGTGTCTCACGGTCCAGGCTCTTCTCCACTACCAGTTCAGCAAAGCGCGAACCGTCACCCCGCGTCTTTATTTCCAGGCCAAACAGCTCGTTGGGCGTGAGCTCGTAGTTCTGCACACCAAAACTGCCTGAGTCCGGGTCATATGCGCTGTCCAGTGGGATGCGCGTGCCGGGGCTGGCTGCCTCGGAGATCTCCAGTTCAATCTGTGCGGCCGGAAAACTGGGAGCATTGTCGTTCAGGTCTTTGATTTCCACCTTAATCACACAGATTTCCATTGAGCTGGACATGACCTCTAGCGAGATAATACACTTGGGGCTCTGGCGACAAAGGAGGTCTCGGTCAATCTTCTGCTTGGTGACCAAGAGGCCCGAGCTGGGGTTGATGTCCACCAGGTGCGGAGCCGAGTTGGACACCACGCGGAAAGCAGAAGCCTGTCGGGGATCCAGCGCGAAGCCTGCCTCCCGCGCGTCCTTGGCCACATTAGCGATTACCGTCCCGGCGCGCTGCTCTTCTTCGACCGAGTATTTTAGGTTAATCAGGGCAGCCGCCTGCGTCCACAGTACAGCCAACAGCAATAGCACCGGCAGCAGGAGAGACTCCATGGCTGCGCGGGGCTCTGCCTGGCCTCGCCTCTCCACACCCCTCCGAGACCGACGCCGCCGGCGCTCCAGCTTCCCGCCGGCTCGGGCCGCCTGTTGCGCGCGCCCCGTGGCCCCGGAGGCCGCGGGAGGAGTCCCGCCCAGGGCGGCCCGGCGGCGGGCGGGATGAACCCGCGCAGGCTCCAATGCTGAGCTTGCAGTGGTCTCAGCAGGGACTGTCTGGGGGCCCGGGGGCTCCGGGGTGCCCAGGGAGCGCCGAGCAGCCCCGAGCCCCCTCCCTCCAGCCCGGCTACTCAGTTTTCCCCTTTTAAAGTTAGCCAGGCGGGACTGGCCGCAGCGGCGCAGGGCTGCGGTTCGAGCGGCGCTCGCACGCCCCGGACGGCCACAAGCAGCAGAGTCGGGAGTGTACTTGGGGCTCGGACGCGGAAGGCTGTTGGGGCGCAGCCTCTCAGGCACTGCCCGACCCGCCGCAGCGCACTGGCACTGGGGCAGGCGAGCGCGCAGTCTGTGCACCTGGCATGCGCAAGGACCTCCCCCCAGCGCGCCCAGCTCACTGCGGAGGGAGCTCCCGCCTGGTACGCACCCTCCGGGATCCGGGGGGGCCACTCTGACCTCTTCGAGGCCTGTTAGAGAAAAGGGGGGGGGTCGCAGGCAGAAGTCTGAGTTGCTGGCAAGATCCGTGGGCTCCCGGGGATTTGGCAGAGCCGGAGGGCTGTCCCGGGGCGGGCAGAGGAAGGGGGAGGGGAGAGATGCGAGAGCGCTCTCTCGGGTGCTGAGGTTGGTGTCCGAGGGCGTGGGGGTGCGTCTGCCCAGGATCCGAGGTGGGCGCAGGGTTCCTCCCACAGAGCAGTTGTGGGTCTGCGGGCGTTTATATCTCGGAAATCAAAGTTACTAACGCAGCCCAGGCCTCCGCCTTAAGTTTATGAAAACGGGAAGATGGCAATTTGTCCAAGAAAATCAAAGTCCTGCTCTTTCCAATTGCCCCGGGGAAGGGGGAGGGGGACACGGGGAATGGGAAGGTGAAGAAAGGAAGCTACTACAGTACCGGCCAGGAGAGGCAGGGCTGCAGTCGCGGGTACCCGGGGCTTCTTCGCCTTCCTGGGTTTGGGCTGGGGTGTCGCTTCAAGGACCGCAGCAGCAGCCGCTGCCGCCGCCGCCGCCGCCGCCGCCGCCGCCAAAGAAAGCCTTCCTTAGTTCAGCCGCATGTCGCTGGGGTCCGGCTGGGCAGCTGCCAGGGTCGAGGGTTTCTGTCGCCTCCAAAGTTTACTTGCCAAAGCTTCTGGATCCCATCCTCCAGGAGAAGCGCTGTCCGCCCTGCTTAGGGCTTCCTCCCTCCCCGGCGCTCGCGCGCTAGGGAGGTCTGTCCGTGGATGTTCGAAAGGGAGGAAGAGTGAGTGTGTGGATGGGAAGTCGAGTGTGGAGTATGAGAGAGAGAGAGAGGAGGAGGAGGAAGAAGAAATGGGTTTGGGGTGGGAGGTTTCGGGTAAATCAGCTCAGCTGGAAAGCCGGGGAGGACACTGCACCGCAGCCCGCGAGGGGCTAGGGAAGTGAATGCCCATGCCCTCCGGGCAAGCCAGGCATGGTGAGCGGTAGCTGGTGCTGCCGTCTGCACCCGCTCGCCCGTCTCCCCTCTCAGCCAGCCGCCGCCGCTACTGCTGCTGTTGCTGCTCCTCCTCCCGATGCCGCAAACTACTGGCCACGGAGTCTGGAGAGAGCTGGAGAGAGCCCGAGCTGCCGAGCCCGGCTACGCCAGCCACTAGCCAATCAGCGCGCAGCCCAGCGGCTCCGGTCTTGGGGCGGGACCAAAGCGCGAGGCTTGGGGGGGGTGGAGGCGGAGGGAGGCGGGGCCAAACGGAAACTTACACACCGGCCCAACTGAGTAGAATACCCTGGCCCACAGAGCCCCTGCGGGAGTGGGGGTGGAGGGGTATCTGACTGGCCTGGGACAAGCAAAGTAGGGAAGGGACAGTGAGCCAGATTTGAAGTGTGCTGTCACTAAAGCTCAGTCCACCAGAGCCCCTCTTGCATCTCTTGTTTGCAAAGATTACAGAAAAAGACGAGGGTTTGATTTTTCTTTTCTTGCTGTTTTATCTCCCTCACGTATCTTCATATCTTAAATGCAATATTCTCTCTGGTCTCTCTTTATCTCTCCTTTGTCTCACTCTTCAGCATTTCGGTTTCTGTTTTCTCTTATTCTCGGGTAGTGGAAGAAAGAGGAGTAAGCGCCCCTGCTATGGTCATTCATCAAGCTCTTGGCCAGTGTATCTTCACTTTTGCCAAGAGCAAGGCCGCCACCCATTCAAATCATTATCCCTATCCCTCCTTATTGGGAAGATGATACACTCCTGGGAACACCCCAGCGTGGGGAGAGAGAGAGAGAGAGAGAGAGAGAGAGAGAGAGAGAGAGAGAGAGAGAGAGAGAGAGAGAGAGAGGAAGAGGAGAGAAGCAGCTGCTGCTGCAGGGCTGCTGGTCCAGTCTGGCTCACTCAGGTCTCTAGTTAATCAAAAGGGATCGGTGGCTTAAGGACTTAGCCTCTAAGGGTTCTGGCTACATTTTCTCACCCCTCACCCAACCCTATCGGATAATTTAGCTTCCTATAAATAAACTACGTTTGAGAAAAGCCAGCGGAGCAGAGCGGACGCCACCGTGCCGTGCCGCGCCTAGAGAGCCCAGATCCGGACCGAAGCTATGGAGTGGGCGCGCCGAGGTCCCTGGCAGCTGTGAGCCCGCTATGGTGTGGTGGGCGCTCAGCGTTCCCAAGGGCCTGTTCTGTCTGAGGGCTTCCACTTCTTCTTGGGTGGCGGTGGCAGCTGTAGCCTTTGCCAATGCTGGGAAGCCAGAGGCCGGCGTGGCCAGGGTTGACATCAAGCTTAGTCTGCCTTCCGGACCAAAGGCACCCTAGAGACAGAGGTGGACTCTTCTCTGCCCAGATCTAAGGCTCTTATTAAGATCCCTGGCAGAAAGAATCAAAAGCGCCCTCGATGAACATTTTTTACTGTTTTTTTTTTAATTACAGATTGAAGATGGGGAAGATTGAGGATGGGGAACAGCTTCTGAATTCACAATTCTTGGATAGAGCAAACCTCCTTTCTGAGTTATTAGTCTCTGTTATTTGGGAGTCTTGGTTGAAGAAACTCATAATTAGCTCAGCGACTTTGGCCTAAACCTGTAGTCTCAAAATAAGGCTCGCTTTCGCCCTTCAAAAAAAATAAATAAGAAAATGAAAAAACGCATTTGGACACATAATGGGTCTCCCCCCCCCAAAAAAAAAAAACCTGCCATCTTCTTGCAGAGAGCAACCCAGCTGCTTAAAAGAATACATCATCCACGGGAGCTAGTTTAGCAGCTTTTACCTTGGTGGTGGGAGTGGGAAGACAGCTTCCTCCCACAAAAAAGGGGTGGTGATGGTGGTGGAGGAATTATTTTGCTAGTGAGGCTGAAACTGGACCGTCTGAAAGTGTTACCAAGGCCAAGGAGAAAGTGTCTGATCCGCTTGGCTCATGAGGGTTGTTTCACATTAGAATGCAATTCAGCCCAGAACATCAGGGAGAAAACTTAGGCATCTGCAGTGAGAATCATTTCATTTTGATCATTTAGAGCTGCGGGCAGAGTGCTGAAAGGGTGGCTTCGGGGAGTCGGTACCGTGGTCCGCCCAGGTTTTTTTTTTTTTTTTCCAGACACCGTTAGAGAAATGGGCAAGTAGTGGAAGAGCAGGAGAAGATGGCAGGCAGCGCGGGCGCTGCTAAAGGAAGGCTTCCATTTGATTTATCATAGTTATTTACCTTTGATGTCAGCGAGTGGGGGTGAAGTGCAGCTTGCTCTAATTAAAAAGGTCTAAAAAGGCATTTGAAATGGGTTTGCTATCTGATCACGAGATGCGAGTTCCGTGTTTGGCAGCTTTCTAAAATATGGCTGGGACTATTTAAACACAACAATTAGCAGCATGCTAAAATGTTTGCATGCTTTGCTTAGAAGCTCTTAGCTGTAAACTTTAAGGCGATCTGTTCCCCTTTAAGTTAAAAAAGGATGATGCTGCTTCCTTGTGGCGAAGGCTGTCAGGAACCCGCTGATCAATAAAAGTAAACTGGCGCCTCCATGGCTTGATTGAGCGGGAGCAAAGAGTCTGAGAAGTAGTCTCGGCCATTACCAATCCCCCAGGTAATGAGAAATGGAAGAATTACTCAGGTAAAATGATTAACATTGCCGTGGCATCTGAAAAGATGCACACAACAAGCTAAGAAGACTGCGGACCTCTTACCTTAGGGAGTGCTAATAGAATGTCTATATTCTGCTGTCTTTTTAAAGATAAATAGGAGAATTCAATTCATGTAGAATGGCATTACCTTTGTAATTGCAATCGCATTGTAAAGACATGTTCTGTCTTTGCAAAGACAGCCCTCTTCCCTAACGCAATGGCACCATTTCCCCGGCTTCTTGCTCACTGCTCACATTCCAGGCACCCCTCTTATTCCAAGCAGAGCGCCAAAGTACTTTCAGTTACCAAACTGCTTTTACAGAAGGCCAAATGCTGAGAGAGGCAGGGGGTCGTATGTATCTGCTTCCATTCTTTCCCATCACCTCCCCCACCCCCAAGCTCACAGTGACAGTTACAACCCCCTGCACACACAATAGTTCTTCCATCCCCCAGTCTATGTCTATAGATAATCCTAACACCCTTTGCTTTCTGACTCCTTTTTTTCCCCTAACATGTACCCGAGATTATCGCGTTCCAGCAATACTACTAACTAAATGATGGGCCCCAAACCATCTTCATTATCTGGAATTTATTAGCTAGCTGACTAAAAGCGTCTGCACGGAGATAATAAAAACAAAAAGAAAGTTCTGTTCGTTTTAGCTTCCGTTTACTTCAATCCTGAGGGGAGCCCCGCCTCCTCAGCCTCTTTAGAGACACAAGAGGGCCATCTAGTGACCATCTCTAGTATTTTCCCACCTAACAGGAAACAGGAGGCTGTGCAGCCTGCTACAGCTTTCTAGGCCAAGTCGGTTCCTTTGGCTACAAAGGCCAGAATCAAAATTGGTTTAAAAAAATGTGGTTTTGTCCTTTGAATTTTATACACGTCACTAAAATAGTCCAGAATGTCAATAAACAAAAATGGGCAAATCCTTACCTTTAAATCAAGCTGATACATGAGTCTAATCTTTGCCGCCCCAAGACTCAGAAGGGAAGGTTTGACTCAGAAAAGTTTAAATTTTTGGTAGGGACTAAGATACCAGGATATGAGGGACTACTTGTAGACTTAGAAAAATTTAAGAGAGCTTTCTGAGATATGATTACAAAATCATTTGTTTCACCCCCTCCCCTAAAAGAATAAGGTCCAAGCAACTCCAGTTTCCCTTGCTCCCCACCTTCCTACCTATTTATTCTTTTCATCTCTGACCTTGCTGCTGGAAACCAGATTCTTCTACCTTGAGTTTTGCTGTATCTCCTGAGCATTGCATTCCCCAAATAATTTGACCAGTGGCCTGGCAACATTTTCTTGAATAGCTTGATTTAAAAGCTAGCCAAAGTCAATCTCACTTTCCTTGACTACATATCTTCTCTCTTGGCTTGAGATACAATGTTTAAAATACACAGAATAAAAGAAGGGAAGGAGTGGGGGGGAAGCAGACAGAGGCAGAAAAGTGTCCTTATTAAAGTCATCATCTCATTTAAGCTTTACAGTAACCATGGGAGGTAAAAATTCTTTGCAGATGTGGAAGTACGATTGCAGAGGAGCTCAATGATTTGCCAAGATGACCTCATTACACAAAACTCAACCACTTTCCTTGTGACATCAACAAGTGTTGGCTGTGCGCCCAGCATTGTGTTATGGAGTACGGAGTTTGCTAAAGATGGACCTTGTCCCTGTGAAGATTAAAATTCAGTTCGCTAATTGAATAACAGCATGTAGTTTCTATACACTACAAATATTCCTTGAGAAAGAACTACACTGGGGTTTATTATGTTGACGGTTTCCTGAAATTCTAATCCCTTCTACCCCAAATGATGACCAGATTTGTAGTGACTTCCCCTCCTCCACCCTCATTGACCCAAGCAGTTGAAGTAAATGCAACAAGAGGAACAGTCAGGGATGTGGGCCTGTGGAGCAGGAGTGAGGTGTGGTTTCCACTATGATGCATGCCTGTTTCTGACTCTTTTGGAACACCAGGAAAACTAGAGATGGGTGGGGGGCAGGAATGATGTTGAGGTTGGTTGTACTTTTTTCTTTCTCTTCCTGCCAAGCCCCACCCACCCTTGCCCTGTTACAAAGGAAAACAGTGACAGCAGGAGTTGCAGCACATCAACAAAATACAGAAAATGTTCTTAAGTGCTAAAATTGCTCAGTGTGGCCCCAATGTCTGCCTTTTCCAAGAAATACAGAAAAGGTCATGGACAGTGGAGACAAAAAAGGCTATTAATCACTCCAAGTCTTCCAATTTTGACAAGGCCAACATCCCTGAAGAAGTTCAATCCACCCTGACCCCAAACCTTATGCCCTCTCTCTTTAGGAATTCTGTTTCCCACAGGGCCAAACCCCTGCTGCTGCCAGACTCATGGCTGTCCCTAAATAAACACACATCACCACGAGGGCCATTTAATTAGCAAAGGCTAAATCAGCAGATACATTTCAATAAATGACACTGTTCTCTAACACCTTCTGCACTGCCCTGCAGTGATCACCTGTGAAGTTTTGACAG